TGCGTCTGAAGTTACGTTGACGAGATGATGCACCGGCGCACTGGTGAGAAAATAGTCCCTAATCATGCGCATTCAGCGAAGGGAAACATACTCCATGAATAGTTAAAATGCCATCTGACAGCCGTGTCTTGTGAGGTTTTGTTTTGGGGATGTGAGGTGATTTGCATATCCTTCAGCATTTGAGAGACGAAAATAAGCAGCAAAATATGTGGGCTGAGGTTAAATATGCGGGCTGCGTGCTTTAAGCGGAGGAGTAAGCGAGAAGATTGGAGGCCTACGCGCAACCTTTATGCTACGACAATGTATTGTTTTGAACGGATCCGCGAGCGACAGGAGCTCAAACGACGAAGTTGAGGGATCATCCAAACGAAGACGCTTAACTAGGTGCTTTAACATTAAACTGATCGACTGGGAAACGCACACATATTGCGCTTCCGTAAACGTTGCTAGTTTTTGTAGATGATACGGTTGACTCCAAAACAAGGCTGGCTCAATCCTGCTCTCTGTGCCAGGTGAGACGGCCCTCCCGCCGTGGAGGAGGCAAAAGTTGAACACCACCCTCCCCACCTACGGACCACCACCAACCCTACTCTAAGGGAAAGTTCAAAGTCTGCTTCACCAGGTCTTTATTAAGAAAGTTCAGGCCTCCACAAAATAGGATACGCTACCATCAAACATTCAGTAAGCAGCCTGTGGTTACTAGAGTACCCTTGGATTTTGCCTTGTGTGTCTGAGAAATTAAGTTTAGGAAGGTCTGTTGGGACTGACTTCAGGCAGGGGTAAAACAGACATACTTTTTTTCTGATATGTACACATACAGGTAGCCCTCGACTTCCATTTCGTTTAGTGACAGTTTGACAATTGATAGTGAAAACAATGACTTAGGACTATTTTTCACAAAATGGTTTGCAACATCCCCAAGGTCATGTGATCAAAATTCAGGCATTGGGCATGTCCTGGGGTCATGTGATCACCTTTTGCAACCTTGACAGTCAATGGGGACATCAGACCATGCACTGACAATTGTGGCAAGAAAGATCGTAAAATGGGCCAAAACTCAACTTTTTGCTTAGCCGTGGAAATTTTTGGCTCAATCAGGGTTGCAAGTTTAGGATTACCTGTATATATTGTATGATATTTACATATATATTGGTCAAACATGTCCTTTTCTGCAGAACTTTCTCAGAAATAGGGTAAAAATATGGTTTACTTATAGGTGTTTGTCATATGCAGATATCAGAAACTGAGGAAGGTTTTGGAAAAGCTTGAAATTCTACACATTGGCTACATTGTAGGAGGAGAGTTATATGTAATTTATGGTAACAACTGATTTTTACCTTTTATTAAAAGACATAAGACTGTTTCAAAACCATACATGTAGGGAATTTTCCTTTAAACAGGTAACTGTAATGAATAGGCCTTGGTACCTAAAGGAGTACACTAGAACACTGACCATTATGACTGATAAAGCATATTTGCAGCTCAAGTTTGAAATGAGGGGTCCTTGGTGCTCTATGAGCTTGGTTGTTTTTTTGTAGATTGTTCATTACCCCAATTAGGTAACATCATATGACTCATATTTTATTGGGTAATGAACTGTCTGCAAGGAAACAACCAAACTCACAGAGCACCAAGTACCCTTTATTCTGACTGAATTAAGCCACTTGCTTCTGCTTGCAGTCTTATTTTACCGTTTAAAATAACTTAATACTAATATATTAGAGAAGTGAGAGGATAAATATTTTTGGAAATTAGCCTGAGTAAATTACATTTAGGAATAACCTGTTCTAGGAACTTGTTGAATAAATTGGAAATAGTAATTTATTTGCAATTGCAATTCTAGTTGTACATTGTTGTAATTTACTTTGATTATATTTAGTGCAATAGCATGCCATCTTCTAGCATTGTTGCTTAGATTTCCAAGACATCCATTCATATTTGGATCTTTAAATGATAAGAGTAGATGAAAGAATATATATTTTGTATTTAAGACTACAGTTTATTAATGAGGCAGGCTTCTGCAAAGTTTCCATTCAAACGCACTTGTATATTAAGATCAGCCTTCAGAAGATTGCATTTATATGCAAGGCAGTGGGAAGTTACCATAAACCCATTTATAGTTTTTGTGTCTAATGTAGGGTTGTTTTTTTACCAGTTCTACCCCATCAGGAGTAAACTATGCTGTTCTCACTTTTCCTAAATTTTAACCTACAAACTGTCCCTTTGCCATTAGAGAAAAATGGAAAATAAGGTTTCTGTGATGCTAATGTGACTTCATTAAAGGTAAAGTCTTAGTTTTGATTTGAGATTCTAATACAGAATCAGCAGCTGGTGGTTATTTCTGATGAAATAACTTAGGTAAAGGTTGAGACCTCTTACAGGGGGTCCAAGCATTTTATTAAGTTATTGGTAGTAATGGAATCTAAATTAAATGATTGATTCATTATATTTGTTCTTATTATACCAATTAATGCCAAAATGACTACTAGATTTACAGTGTGAAGGGGGTTAATTCAATAACACATAGTACTAAAAAATGCTGTTAGCAATAGATCGATTTTCCTAAACATTTGCAACAAGAGCGAAGCGCACTGCCCGGCACTTCGCGAGTTAACTAGAAACCGACGTTGGGGAAGTAGTTCCGGCCCATCCTCCCTCTCCTCCCCTTCCTTGTCCTTTGCAAGTCGCCTCACCATGGGTGTGGAAGAGAATATCCTTGCGCAGGGTTGCTAAGGGTGAAACTTTTCATTTACTTTGCTCACTTTGGGCCAGGGAGAGGGTGGCTTCAGGTTTCCCGCGGAGGGAGGAAAGAAAGGAAAGAAAGGAAAGAAAGAAAGAAAAGAAGGGCGCTCTCCAATCAATATCCTCTCACCCCACTTCTGATTTGGCCTATAGAGGGGGGAGAAGTTATCGAAATAGCATGCGTACAGTATAAAAATATATATCGAATATACCACATCAGCGCTTTGTGAAAAAGAAACTCCCTAAAATATCTGGAAAGAAAAAGAAGCCACCAAACCACCTTTCCTGGTGCTGAGGAAAAAAAAAAGGAAAAAGGAAAAAAAAAGTAAGTAAATGCTTATGGCTAGACAGGGAGAGGGTGGGCATAATAGAAGAGTATTCCCTATAGTCATACCATTTACATTTCTGTTTGAAGAATGCCTTTTTGACCAAGTTTGCCACCTCGACAGCCTTGCTTTTTCTCCGCTGCTCCTTTATTAAAGGGCGATTTCATCGGGGCCTCTTTCAGAAGCCGCCGCTCTTCCAAGTCGGGTTCTGAGAAGTCATATCGGGGTTCCTTCTCCGCCCGTTCCCCCACCCCACCCCCGGTTCCCTAGGGGAGAAAAGCTCTGCCTTTACAAGAAAACCTTCCCTTCTAGTAATATTGTTTCCCTTAGAACCAGCAACATTGCTGATATTACAGTATTAGTTGGAAGGGCGAGGAAGTCTGAAAACCATTTGGCTTGAACGACTGAAAAGACTCCAGTTCACCATTTTGTCTTCGTTCATTTTATTGGAATCGTGACCCGACTATTAAAAAAAATCCCTATAAAACAGATTTCGGTTTAAAGAGAAAATACTGCGAACGAGCCTGTATTTTTCGCTTTTTCTTTTAAGGATATGAAAATGGTAGTGAATATCAAATAATGGAGGTGGAGCGAAGGGGGCACAATGGAAAGTCGGGGGATAGAGCTAAGGAGTTTAGTTCCATTTAGCTTAATCCGGATCAATGGCCAGCGCGGCTTTGTCTAAAAAGTGGTTCCATCCCTTTTATACTCGAATTTTCTCTCCCCGCCGCCTCCTTATGATTTCGTATGTCACAAACACAGACCGGGGGGGGGGGGGAGATTAGGGTTCCCCACCTCTGTCCCAAGGTTTAAGCGAGGTAAGCTCCTTTCCCAAGGAAAAAAAAAAAGGCTGGACTGTGAGCCGGAGAGGCTCAGTCAAACGAAATCGCTGTAGTCGTTCCCGCAGCAATACTTTCTGGGCATCAAAAACGCACTTTCCGGTTTCCATCGATTCCGTTCGTGAGGTAAATTAGACTCGGCATTTTCCTTTGGGCCACAAAGAGATTCTGGGGCCTAATCAGCGCCTTGGACGCCGCGCAACCCTGGGATTATTTGTTTTCTCCCAAAAGAGAGAAGCGGGGATGACCCTTTCAGCCCCGAAGGGAGTTAAGAGGTAGTCAGTCGGTTGAGCAGATTGGCTTTTAAAGAAAATGCGGCCAGCCTTCCGAAAGGAGTTGGGCTTTGGGCTGCCCTGGGTTTCTTCTAGGCAGGCGGTAAAAGGTCAGGTCTCAATAACCTTCACTCGGGCACGGACTTTTTTTTTTTTTTCTGCCTTCGGAAGGCTTTGAATGTGTATTTATGCGATTCCCCTTAAGAGGGATTAGGGCCACAAGTGTATCTTGACACTTGCATGAGCGAAACGGAAGCCTCCGCGAGAGGGCCGGCAAAATAGCTCTCTTGCTCTGTGGTAAAAACGGCAAAGTGGCTTCTCTGCTCCCAAGGAAGGCTACATCTCGAGACTTGCTCTGCCTCCGCATGCAAAAGCTTGGAAAGAAGGGTGGGGATGGGGTTTTAGGAAAAGGGTCCATCCTGGGGGTTACTTCCAAAGAGGGAGGATTGCGCTGGGATTTGGGTAGATCTCTCATTGGCCTCCAGCAAAGGAGGAATTGAAAGGGTAGAGTTGGGGGGAGTAGGAGCTGCTGTGCTTTGCCAAGTGCCTGAGATTTACTCAGCCGGCCTCCCTCCTGCTCCATATGCCTTTCCGCACACCAGAGAAGAAATCGGCGATTGTAGCTGAAATGCGAATATGGCCAAGGGGGGGGGGGGGGGGTAATTGAGCAATAGAGCGCAAAGGGCGCATGCGCCATGGAAAATTTTACACGGCTTAGCTGAGCAGGCGCTCGCCTGGGCCAGCTTTGGCGCAAAGCAAATGGAGAAGGGTAGTTAAAAGACAAAGTAGGTCACTTACTCGGGCGTTCCATTTTGTAACAGATGCTGAATTCATGAGGTAGTACGGCTTCGGAGACACCCGAATTGGGAGGAGGCCAAGAAACTGTTCGCAGAGGTAGGGTCATTAGGGAGGCTTCATCAGCGAATGTTGGCAACTGCGCTTGAGGGGGGAGGGGGAGGGGCAGGCAAGCCGGCCGACCGAGACGTTTCCGGGGGAGGGGGAGGAGGTCCCTCGGGAGAAAAACAGTACATCAACTTCGCACGTGTACGGAGGCTTGGGAACGAGTTGGTGATTTGGCCATATAAATAACCCTACGGAGGCAACGGATTTTGGCAGAAGAAATACTAGATTGGGCAGTTGTGGTTCCAGAACGTTTCTAGGATTCGCCTCTCTGTTCTTCATTAGTCTTTAAAGCAGAGAACTTGGGTTTCTATAAACAGCGGATTGGTGTGAGGAGTCGGTTGAACCAAGGCTCCTGTTCTGTTGAGATGTCTCCTACAAGCATATTTTTTAATTGGTCAATGTGGCTTTTGTTTTTTAAAGTACTTATGATCATCAGCCTAACAAGCTACTCAAGATAATTAAGAACATTTTTTTAAAAGTTGTCTAATATTCTGTTGAGTAAAAAGGTATTTTACTCAATACTCTCTGACTGGGCAACTATACTGTCCTCCCAAAGAAATAACTATAGTTTAACTGTTTATATGCAAAATCATTGAGTAATATGGAGATTGTTATTTAATTTGTTGTCTCATGGATATAATTTTTATATGCAGAATAAACTGCAATTATATTTTATATTCTAAAGATAATTGGCTATTCTGAAATAATTTTAATTTTATTATTGAAGTTCTATAGAAAAAAACCCCAAAGATTTAATTTGTTATTAGTCTCTGAAGTTGTCTCACTTGTTTCCAAATTAACAATCTTAAGGATTAAGGAATTCTAATGAATGCAAGTTTCCTTTGCTAATAATTAAAGCTGTGGCATTATTTTTCTTTTTCAAAAATTGCTGTACCAAATTTGGAGGGTTCTTTTATATTTAGTGATTTTTACTGATTCTATAATTTGAATATACTAAAATATCCACAATATTGTGAAGGGTCCTTTAAAAATATTTCTTGGTACTGATGCTGACCACATTCTATTCAAGAAAAATTCAAAGCAAAATATAACATCCTTGAATAGAAACATAATGCCAAGTAACTTGGGCTGATTTGACTTGCTGCCTTTCTGTTACTTGATCTAATTACTATTAATAGATCATTGTGTAGGTTATTATTTATTTCTTGGTTTTCAAGACCAGATTAAAACAACACCGGGCAGTTTACAATTTTTAAAATAATATTTTTTTTAAAAGCACATAACATTTATGTATATTTTAGAACAAAATGGATTTCTTTAGATCCAAATATTGCTGTTCTCATTACATTTATTTGGCAGTAAGCCCCTTTGAATCTGGAGGGATTTAAGCCTAATTATTCAGCTCAAGGTGATTTGCTGCCTGTCCTTGAGAAAGTGGCAAACAAGAAGAATTTTTTCTGAATAACATTTTTCTTTTTGTATGTTTCTTTAGGATGATTGGCAGGATAAATCTTTAGTCATAAATTATGGTATGCATGTTATAGACCATAGCCTTGTGGCCCCAAAATTAAAAAAAAATTCACAGTCATAAGTTACTTTCCTAAATGTTCTAGTTTCTCAAAACAATAATTCACAAGACACAGATACAAACCATTTTGTATACTTGAGCTGATGTGTTAGTTGGTCTTGCCTCCCAATTTAAATAGGCATTTTCCAATAGCTTTGGTACAGCTTATCATAGTTGCTCCTGGAGTACAAACTCTAAGCTTAGTCTTAGATTCTGCTATCAGAAATAATTTTATGGCTATCCCCATTCAGATGGAATTATTTCAGAAGAAGCTCCTGTTTTAATTTGCGATAATATGGGTAATCCTCAATTTACAACTATCTGTTTAGTGACTGTTTGAAGTTACAACACCACTAAAAAAGCTGATTTATAAGCATTTTTCATACTTACAAACATTGTAGCATCCTATGGTTACATGATCAAAATTTGCTTGGCAACTGGTATGTATGTATGGGGGTTGCAGTGTCCCGGATCATGTGATCACCATTTGCGACCTTCCATCAAGCAAAGTCAGTGGGAAAGCCAGATTCACTTAACAAGCATTTTACTAACTTTATAACTGTAATGATTTTCTTAACAACTGTGGCAAGGAAGGGCAAAATTCACTTAACAACTGTCTTACTTAACAATGGAAATTTTGGGCTCAATTGTAGTCATAGGTCCAGGACTACCTATATGCTTGAAGAATAGATTTTTTAAATTCTTATATATATGCTCCCATTTACATTTTGATGCAAAGCCCTGCTTTATATTTTAAGAAATTTGCTGGGTTAAAACAAAGGCCTGTTTTCTCTAATATCTTAATTTCCCACAATGACTTAACTAGATACCTATGGAAAGTCCACAAACAGGACATGAGGGCGGTCCTCTTCTCATTGGTTCACAGCAGCTGATAATCAGAGGTATGCTTCATGTTAACCTGGAGATAGCAAATAACCTCAATTTAATAGCCATTTATCATTTATTCTTCATAAATTTATTCCCTTTGGCAGTCTCTTAGTATTCATTTTTTTAATTATTGGAAGAGGAGGATTTATTGCCCATCTTTCTATCACTTTCCAACAAATGTACAATTCCCATACCTATCAGCTCCTTAAATACCAGAAGGTCAAGATGAAAGGAATGACACTGGAGCATGCATTTTTATCTAATTTTCACAAATTGAACTGACATTTGAAGGATGCTGTCTCAGATTACTGTTTTGTGGGAAATTCCATAGTTTAATTACTGTAAGAGATGATGGTTTATTAAATACATCACCTTATGTCCTTTTGCCACACAATTTAATATGCTTTCAAGTATTGGTACACAAATGCAGTTGCAATTAGAAATGGCATATATGTTGGCACAGATGTCTAAGAATGAGATTGAAAAAAGACAATTTTTCTTCCTGGTCCTCAATGGAATGCTGTTCTAGTCCCAGGTTTCCCGTGGGCTTCTAATTTATCAGAAGAAATATTTGCCATAAATCACCATATTTGTTAGTGCCTTATTGAAATTCAACTTTAGTATTCATTTTTTGAATATTTTATGGACCTAAAGCAGGCTGTTGACTAAGGTGCCAATTTAAAACTGGATCTGTTACATTGCAGGTAAATTGATGATGCACATACAATCCTAAATTTAAATAATCTTATAAATTTTTTCTAGGCACTTAAGAGTATTTATTATTGGATAGAGTAAAACAATATGAATTGAAGTATTGAGAGACAACAGCAAATCATTTGGTAGTGTAACCCCCCTAAAAGAAGAGAAGTTTGGTTAAGAATTTTTTAAAGTAGTCTGCATGCCATACAGAAACCTTTAAAAGCATCATTAGATATTTGCATCTTTAAAAATGACAGTTTAATTGGACATTCCAGTAAGTACTTGTTAATTTCTCTCCAATACTATTTTTTGTTCATATGAAATGATGCTAATGAAATAGTTTCAAATATTTAATTGTTTGCTATTAGAACAACAGGGATGGAAGGCATCACAATTTGCATCTCAGTTTATCTCCTTAAATGTATTGAACTGCTATATCTAGTAGCTTAAAATGAAATTTAAATGTAACTTTGACTGTTACATTTAGTATCAGAAATTCAGAAGTTAGGTCTATCAACACATCAACATACCATAAATTGGGAGCTTGTGGTAAATGTGCTTATTTACACTGCTCAAAAAAATAAAGAGAACACAAAAATAAGACATCCTAGATCTGAATGAATGAAATATTCTTATTAAATACTTTGTTCGTTACATAGTTGAATGTGCTGACAACAAAATCACACAAAAATTATCAATGGAAATCAAATTTAGCAACCCATGGAGGTCTGGATTTGGAGTTACACTCAAAATTAAAGTGGAGAAAAACACTACAGGCTGATCCAACTTTGATGTCATGTCCTTAAAACAAGTCAAAATGAAGCTCAGTAGTGTGTGTGGCCTCCACATGCCTGTATGACCTCCCTACAACGCCTGGGCATGCTCCTGATGAGGTGGCGGATGGTCTCCTGAGGGATCTCCTCCCACACCTGGACTAAAGCATCCCCCAACTCCTAGACAGTCTGTGGTGCAACGTAGCATTGGTGCATGGAGCGAGACATAATGTCCCAGATGTGCTCAATTGGATTCAGGTCTGGGGAACGGGCGGGCCAGTCCATAGCATCAATGCCTTCATCTTGCAGGAACTGCTGACACACTCCAGCCACATGAGGTCCAGCATCGTCTTGCATTAGGAGGAACCCAGGGCCAACTGCACCAGCATATGATCTCACAAGGGGTCTGAGGATCTCATCTCAGTACCTCATGACAGTCAGACTACCTCTGGCGAGCACATGGAGGGCTGTGCGGCCCCCTAAAGAAATGCCACCCCACACCATTATTGATCCACTGCCAAACCGGTCATGCTGGAGGATGTTGCAGGCAGCAGAACGTTCTCCATGGCATCTCCAGACCCTGTCACGTCTGTCACATGTGCTCAGTGTGAACCTGCTTTCATCTGTGAAGAGCACAGGGCACCAGTGGTGAATTTGCCAATCTTGGTGTTCTCTGGCAAATGCCAAACATCCTGCACAGTGTTGGGTTGTAAGCACAACACCCACCTGTGGACGTCGGGCCCTCATACCATCCTCATGGAGTCTGTTTCTGACCGTTTGAGCAGCCACATGCACATTTGTGGCCCGCTGGAGGTCATTTTGCAGGGCTCTGGCAGTGCTCCTCCTGTCCCTCCTTGCACAAAGGCGGAGGTAGCGGTCCTGATGCTGGGTTGTTGCCCTCCTACGGCCTCCTCCACGTCTCCTGATGTACTGGCCTGTCTCCTGGTAGCGACTCCATGCTCTGGACACTACGTTGACAGACACAGCAAACCTTGCCACAGCTCGCATTGATGTGCCATCCTGGATGAGCTGCACTACCTGAGCCACTTCTGTGGGTTGTAGACTCTGTCTCATGCTACCACTAGAGTGAAAGCACCGCCAGCATTCAAAAGTGACCAAACCATCAGCCAGAAAGCATAGGAACTGAGAAGTGGTCTGTGGTCACCACCTGCAGAACCACTCCTTTATTGGGGATGTCTTGCTAACTGCCTGTGCTTTCCACCTGTTGTCTATTCCATTTGCACAACAGCATGTGAAATTGATTGTCAATCAGTGTTGCTACCTAAGTGGACAGTTTGATTTCACAGAAGTGTGATTGACTTGGAGTTACATTGTGTTGTTTAAGTGTTCCCTTTATTTTTTTGAGCAGTGTGTATCGTTTGTATCTGTACAGAACATACTGTTCCAATGTTAAATACCCTGAGTGTCTGAAGATACCAAGTAGATAGATAGACAGACGAGGGGGGAGCGCAGTGTGTCAGTGTAATCATTTGGTGTTGTGACATAAAAGTTTAATGTTTAGATCGATCGATGCGGTCATTGGGTGTCATGTGACACAAGTTTAATGTTTTATTGTTATAAAATAAAAATGTTTCCATGCTATTTTGAAGAAAAAGAAATTGGGTAACAACTTACAAGATGAAATTAAGCAGTTCAGAATTTATATTTCTTATTTCCCTAACTGCTCATCTCTTAGACAAGCTCTGGGCAGTGTACAATGTAATAAATAAACGCAGACCAAATATAGCATGTATATAGGCTAAGATACATATTTTTTGGAAGCAATAATAGTACTCAGATCCAGATTGAGTTATTTATTTACAAGATTTATATGGCCGCCCATTCACTCTTAATGACTCTGGGCGGTTTACAAATAACAGTGATTACATGACTAGAGCTATAGTTTTCAGATCAGGAGAAACAGCATTCCCAATTCTTTTCTGTGCAAATCAGCTCTTACCTGGAAGACTTGCATTTAGTTTTTGAAGCTGCATTTTAAGAAGTACACAGATAAACTGGAATGTGTTCAAATGAAGTAAAACAATACAATTAATGTGGAAAACGAGTCATCAAAATTATGACAAAGGTTTAGCCAGTGGATCATAGATTTGAATTAAATCACTTAAAAAAGCTCTTTTCAGTATAGTAACATTATATATTCACACATGCATATGTAAATATATAATTTGCATCTATATTGTACATTATAATCAGCACATTTTATTCTTTTCCAGATACCCTGGCTTTCAAAATCTCAGATAAATAACACTTGGCACATGAGAAAAGTAACCTGAATTTTTTTATTAACTTTGGAGACAGCCCAATAGAAAAAAGAAATGTAGTGCCAGTTTATACACTCAAGACAGTAATGCCTATTTTCTGATTTCTAAATCACTTTTATGTCCCAGTTCACAAAATCCATAAAATTATTTAAACAAAGTTGTATATTTGATTGAAAAATCAATTTCTTAATATCATAATATCATTCTTAATATAATATCAATATAATATCATGTATGAATTTGAAATCCCATGTAAGAACCATAACAATAGCTCTGAAATTACATACCATTTAAGACATAGCAATTGCTTTAGCTAATTTTTGAATGGTTTTAAAACGGAACTATTGCTCTAATAATATTAAATATACCATACTTAGTCCTTTTCTTCCTTTTCTCTTTTTCCAGGATTGTTTGGCGCCAAAATCCATTTATGGTTGTATCCTTTGTCTATTTTTAATATACTGCCCTAATTTGCTTGCTGTAAAGGGAGTATGCATCTAGAGATCAAAGTTGCTCTGAACTTCATCATCTCATATCTGTACAACAAGCTTCCACGGAGGCGAGCTGACCTGTTTGGTGAAGAGCTAGAGAGGCTGCTGAAAAAGAAATATGAAGGTCACTGGTATCCAGAGAAACCTCTGAAAGGTTCTGGCTACCGTTGTGTTCACATTGGAGAAACTGTGGACCCCGTAGTGGAAATGGCAGCCAAGCGGAGTGGACTTGCTGTAGAGGATGTGCGAGCCAATGTCCCTGAAGAACTCAGTGTTTGGATTGATCCCTTTGAGGTCTCTTACCAAATTGGCGAGAAAGGGTCAGTCAAGGTCCTTTATCTAGATGACAGCGAGGGCTGCAGTGCAGCTGAATTGGACAAGGAGATCAAGAGCAGTTTCAATCCTGATGCACAGGTGTTTGTACCTATTGGAAGCCAGGACAATTCCTTGTCTAATTCTCCATCACCATCTTTTGGTCAGTCACCTAGCCCTACATTCATCCCACGATCTGCTCAACCAATTACTTTTACCACTGCTACATTTGCTGCCACAAAGTTTGGCTCAACTAAGATGAAGAAAGGTGGAGGAGCTGGAGCAAGCACCAATGGTACAGGGGTTCCACAGCAGCCACAACGCTTGGTCCGTTCACCCACCAATAGCTTGCTGAAGCACAAAGGCCTTTCCCTGTCTATGCATTCTCTGAACTTCATCGGGGGCAGCCCAGCCCCTCAGTCTCAACTCTCTCCCAATGCCAAGGAGTTTGTTTACAATGGTGGATCACCAGGAGCCAGCAGCCTCTTCTTTGATAGTGCAGCCACTGAAAACCAGGCTGGTGCCATTCCTCCTGCATCACAATTCAGCGCCAGTAGTGGCAGCAGCTTTGACATGGCTCAGGTTTTTGGTGGAAGCACCAACAGCCTTTTTCTGGAGAAGACACCCTTTGTGGAAGGACTCAGCTACAATCTGAATGCCATGCAGTATCCCAATCAGTCGTTCCAGCCAGTGGTTTTGGCCAACTGACCATCCTATGAGTATTCTGGGGAAAACCACTTCCAAAAAAAAAAAAAGAGAGAGAGAAAATAATTAAGAAATATTTGAAATCTTATAAATATAACTTCTTGGAAAGAGATGAACCTTAACTTGTTGTGTCATGCCAGGGAGCGCTGCTGAAGCACTGATTCTTTTTAAAACTTGTATTCTGTGCTCTTTCCTACCTATTGTATGTTCAATGAAAGAGGCTATCCTTGGCCCAGCAGTGGTTGGAACCAGAGTTACTTTATTTAATCTCCCATGCTGCTTATTGAAACTGGTCCTCAAATATGCTTGCTGTAAGGATGGCCTTGTTCAGGTGCTGTCATGTTCTTCATACCCAGATGTCTTGAATTTTCTCTGTTTTTCAGGTGGCCTAGGGTAGGGATGGGGAATGATTAAATACCTCTGGTTGTATAACATCTCAAGCAGTTCCCAGGGAGACTTGTGGTTTGTTTTCATACATACATAAATACATACACATATATATGTGTGTGTGTGTGTGTGTATATATATATGAGAGACATAGATGGTGGGTTAAATTAGTTAAATTTCTTAGAACTCTCCGATTTTATAATCCTAGAGCAGAAAACAAAGTTTCTCTTATGCTAACTGGTGATGACAGGGTTTTGTAGTGAAAATATTATTTCCCTGGAAATTCTTCTTATCTAGAGGATAATGTGACATCTGGGACAGTATTTTGCCTCATGCTTCCTATAAGCCTCTTTTCTTCTCTAGTCTTAAAAGCTAGATTGTGGTGGTTTTAGGGAAGTTCAGTCCTGTTTGCTAATAATATGACAAATAGAACTCTATGAAAATTCTTCTGACCTGCAAAAAAGAATTATCCTTGTATATTGCACTCATTCTCAAGAGTAAAGGTGAATGTTTTTTTTTTTTTTTTTGGTGTTTGTGCCTGAGCAACATCTGTTGATGTTTCTCTGGATTAATCAGTTGGAAATTTTGCCAGGTTCTATGCTCTTCTGATTAGTAGCTGATCATTTAGTTACTAGTTCTCATGGAAAACATGGTTCTCCTACTTTCAAATATTATAAGCACTACTTTTGACAGGGATGAAGGAGTTATTGTGTAGGCTATTCTCTGAAGGAATGGTTAGAGAGTTTGCACTTTGAATTTCACATCTCCTAGGACTTTTGACCAAAAATGTTACATTTTTCATTAGAAAGGAATCAGGTATTCTTGTATAGAAGAGTACCTCACATACCTGTTCCAGCTTGAAGTTGTTCCATCTTAAGGCTCTGCATCAGGGATGAAGTGGGCTTGCCATAGAATATCCAAGTGATTTGAATGTGAAGAAAGCGTTCACTGATAGAAATATAAAGTCTGTCATTATTGTTGGTGAGCTAGCAATCCCAATTGTATTCCGTATTTCTCCTTTTTTCGACGGGAGAGGATGGCAGGAAGAAATAGACAATAGTGGCCTTCTAATGTTGGTTTTTTTTGCAAACTAATTGACAGAATTTGCCTTAGATAGGAAACCTTCCCCATCTATGCCTTATGGAATGATTATGAGTCCCAGAATTTACCTGGCTATGGTAATAAGCAATCTTTTTAAGGAGTTAAATGAGTGAGCAGTGAAGATAGGAAGAGGAAACTGGCTGTGGAATCCTATTTAGGCAGTTTTACATCCTCCATTTTATGCTCTCTTCTATAGCTCAGTTTGGGTTGTATTAAATCTTGCTTCTGTAATTTCTCTGGCAAAGTCTTGTCAAATAGATAAGCTAAAATATGTTCTTCTAGAGCTTGACTTTTTAAGTTTCCCTTCCCCACTCCCTCAACCTAAATTAAGGGTTCCTTGCTAGAATATATATGAGCCTTAACTTCCAGGTGCACCTATCCTCCAGAGAAGGGTAACTATTTTTAATGTGTTCAGTATCATGGGTGTAGTTATGGGAAATGTTTCCTACCTAGGCACATTGTGGGATATGTAGGATATTTTAATATTCCCCTAAATTTCTTTGTTTCCTCCCCTTTCCTGGGATGAGGAAAGAAGACACTAAAAGTATATTGAGCACTCTGCCTGTTTTCTGATGCACTTAGTGGATGAAGAGGGAAAGTACACAGAAATGGAAAGGCAAAACTGCATAGGGCTGAAACTTCAAACCTGAACAAGACTTACAAACTGTTCAGCTTTCCCCTTGTTCATGCTTTCCCCTTAAAGTACCACTGCCACCCACTTGCCCCTGTGGAGTGTATTGTAATGTAGACTGCCTAGTTATTACACTGGACTTGAACCACATCTTCCTCCCTGATAGAGACTATCCACCCAGCCTAATCTCCTCTGTTAATTTATTCCTGTAGCAGAGAAAGATGCATACCCTTCTAAGGTTTAGAATAATAGGGAGGAAGTCTCACTTAGCACCTGCAATTTGCGATGTTTGACACTGCTTTATTATACCTATTGCTTTTGGAAAAGAAGTCTACATGCACAAGGAAGAAGGGGGAAGGGACCAACCTCTATTTCCTAAAGGAACACTTAATGAACACATAACTGTGCTTCAGAAGCATTTCCAGTGCTGACAACAATAAAACTCACGGCCTCTTTTTTGGTCTTCTTGTCTCAAGAGTTAGATGTTTGGCTTCAATTTTACTTTTAAGACCTGCACTAATTTACCTGGTTTCATAGGAAGAAAAAAGAATTTTTTTTAATTTTTATTTTTATGGGTTTGTGTTAATTTTTTGTTGTCTGTTTATATTGAATAATTTGCTACATTTGTAAAATGTAAGAGGTATATATAATATATGTATATTTCTAACGTACAAAATGAAACTTTTCTTTTCAAAAATTTTTCTTAGAGAAAAATATTTTTTCAGGAAAATTTTAAAAAAGTAGTAAAAGCTCCTTTTTCCCTTGCTTCCCTCCTTCCTGACCCTTTTTGAAGAGTGAATCAACAACATGTGATCTAAAGTGGACAGATGAACACAAAGAGGACATAATTATGTATGTTTTTTAATGCAGAGGTCCATGCTGTTCTTGTTCGTCTCTTTGGTTTTCTTGTTTTTGTTTTGTTTTTTACAGGCAGAGGGCCATTGAGTAGGGATTCAGAGGGGGTGGGGTTCTTTTTTTCTCTAGCAAAGGAGGAATACAATCAGCGTTTTGTATTCAGAATGTTGTGCAATATTTTGGAACAGGACATTGGCATGTCTAAAGATATAGTTAAAACAACAAAGGTTGATCAAATCTGTACAGTTTCTATTGTTCCAGATTTTTTTAAGTTTGTATTAAAAGCATGATACATAATAGCTTCTTGTCCTGTTGTTTGTACAAGCACATAATGTTTAAGGATGAAGAACAAAACTTTCTTTTTGGATTTGAAAATAGACATGATTCCACATAGTACTGTGGTATACAGGATTGTGGAAAGCCTGGAGGAAAAAAAATTGGCTCTTTCTCTGCGATGTTCCCCAGAATAAATGAGGTCTAGTTTTAATATCCCCAAATTGGGCTTGTTTCTGTTAATTAGGATAAAATCAATAAGTCTGAAGTAAAACTAATGTATGACAATTTAAAGTTTTACAATTGCATAGTTTAAAAAAGGTCAAAACGTATACATAGCCTATATTTGTCTCAAATATGTCTTTTTTAACAGCAACGCTTTGTTTATATGCAACTACGCTCCACCAAGTTCAGCAGAGTAAAAATTCACATTTTGTGTGTTTTCATGTGATCTTTTATAAAGAGTTCATTATGTTGTTGAAAGCTTTGTTCTCTGGACCAGATTTTCTTTTTTAGGATTTCTCCACTTAAAATTGTGGTACTTTTACTTGCCACATTAAAACTATCCTGTTACGAGAGTAGAATGAAAACCTGAATTCTGTCCTATGCCAGGATATATTTTTTCCCTATGGAGGACCACTAGAAGATGAATAGTGGGCATGGATATCCCCAAACACATGGGGATATCTTCCTGGCTTGACAAATACTTTTTTTCTTTGACAGTCTTCTCCCATGCAGTAGGTTACTGAACAAGATAGTTCAGTACTTACTGGTTACATAACATCTTACTGAACAGAGTAGGTCTTGGGCAAATTCAGCTACAGCAAAGTGATGCCTGGTGTAGCCTGATGCTGCATAATCTGGGGCTTCGTAGGTAACAATCCATAAATTCAGCCTGGAAATTTGGCAGGGTTGTCCCACAAGCAATCTGGCTCCTGACCACTTGTGATTTCTGAGTTATCTCCAAGAATGCATTCTAATGTTCTTTGGGAATTTCTTTCTCCCAAGACAGGTTATGGAATGGTATAGACATCAATTCTGATGGATGCTCTTAGTAAGGAAGGACCTTCAAAGTCTGCTACTGGAATAGATAATAGTATAATCAAGTCAATGCCATTGCTTCTCAGGACAGCAATAACTTTTTTTAAAAAAAGGCAATTGATGTGGCAGCATTCAGCCTATAAAATATTAGGTAAATTGAAATAGGTAGACTGCTGAAGATATCAATTTAAATTTTTAATTAACATGACAGGTTTAGCAGAGGTTGCATTTCCCACATAGGGAAACAAATATCAAATACCTAACATTGTTTATAATTGGACAAGTATGTTTCTATATGTGTATTTAGGGAATTTTTACTTCACTATTGGGGCACTGGCCTCAGGAAGGATCTCATCAGTATCATTTTGATTGGCGCAATATGCTCTTCTAGGGTCAGTTGATTTTGATTGCTAGCATCTCATTTTTCTTCTGCCTGATATATAGTATCCTCCTCAATTCCAGCTTGTGTAATTCAATCAGCATCTTCAGAAGTGTACATCTTATTGGCTTCTATGCTTTTATGAAATTATTGCTACATTTTATGCCTTTCATGGGGAGCAGAGATTGACATTCTTACTTCTGTGCAGGATCCACATTCTGTAACTTCCTTCTCTAAGGTGCAGTATGTTATCTTCCGCCTTACATCTACCCTATTGTTCAGAAGTTAAAGAATGTGGGGGAAAGGCCATCTGGCTCTACTGTTTTCCCCTTTTTTGTGCTACTTCAGAAAAAAACCCTTTCCAGTTCCAACTTTTAAAAAAGGTATTAAAAAACTTCCACAGCAAGAAACAAAATCCTTAACATTCAGGCTTGCTTTTTATATTGAAATCATTGTTTTCTACAGCAATCTCTCCCACACAGGTTTTTTTTTTTTTTTGCATGTGTGCAGACTCATACATAGGTATGTGTAAATAAATAAAATAGTCCCTAGGCACAGAGCAGTTTATACAAGTCCCTAAATAAACCAAAGAATTCCATCTA